TATCAAATTAGAAGGAAATCGTATTAGCCGTTTTCGATATATAGAGGATTAACAACCATTAGTAATTGAACGGCGCAAAGCGAAGCTCTTATACTACTCTCCTCTTTTTGTTTTACAAATACCTCCTGAACGGCTGAAGCGATCTACACGAAATTTAGCACGATCATAGTAACCAACCATGGGAATGTATAAATCTTAAATGGTACAAATTGGACCACAGGGCTTTTCCCTACGTGAATTTATTATTATTTTTTTTTTTTTGAAATTTAACATGGGCCTTATGGGTTCATTGGTTGCTATGACTTTATTTGCAAAATAACACTAAAAAGATAAATACCCCCGCCGCAGCAAACCTGCAGACTAAGCGAATTTCCATTTGCCTGATTGGATTTACACTAAAATGTCTCCTTAAAAATATCACATTTATTCCCTATTTAAATCAAATCAGTTATACTTAGGTTTGCTGCAACAGGGAGTGTTAAAGTGTTTTTGTATGTAAAATGTTAATAGTTAGTAAGAAATAAAAACATTTTCCAAATTTGGGAAAAATATGTTAATAAATAAGCAAACTACAACAGTTTACTTATCCTCCATAAGAATAACATGGGAATTTTAAATTTACAATTTTTTAGAATTTTCTCCGCAACCATTAGGCGCATTATAACGCTTCAATATACGAAATTATTTGTTTTTTTAAGCTCTACAAAATAGTTTGGAAAGAAATTGCAAAAATTTAAGTTTTTTGGGTCAAAAATGGGAAAAACCCATTTTTACCCCATAAAAGTCCCCATAAACCCCCGTTCCCATGGTTCGATCATGCTGGTTCGCGAACTCGTTCGAATAAACGTAGGTTTACACGTTTGTACCAAATTTCATCAAAATCGGATCATTTTTGCTCGAGTTATCGCGCTAACGGACACATATATATATAAATATATATATATATATATATATATATATATATATATATATTTTATATATATATATATATATATACCCCCGCCGCAGCAAACCTGCAGACTAAGCGAATTGCCATTGACCTGATTGGATTTACACTAAAATGCCTCCATAAAAATAGCACATTTATTTCCTATTTAAATAGAATAAGTTTAACAAGTACCTTAGGTTTGCTGCAACAGGGAGGGTAAAAAAGATTTTTTTATAAAATGATAATAGTTTAGTAAGAAATAAAAGTATTTTCCAAAATCGATCAAAATATGTTCATAAACAAGCAAACTACAACAGTCGACTTATTCTCCATAAGAATAACATGGGAATTTTAAAATTACAATTTTTTTGAATTTTCTCCGTAACAATTAGGCGCATAATAACGCTTCAATATACTAAATTATTTGTTTTTTTAAGCTCTACAAAATGGTTTAAAAAGAAATTGTGAAATTTTGTGTTTTTAGGGGCAAAAATGGGAAAAACCTATTTTTACCCCATAAAACCCCCCATAAACCCCCGTTCCCATAGTCCGATCATGCTGGTTCGCAAACTCATTCAAGTTTATCCCGCCTTACACCTTCAAACCAAATTTTATCAAAATCGGACAAAAATTACTCAAGTTATCGTGCGGATGGACACATATACATATATATATCTCTATATATAGATATATAAAAATTTGAACGAATGGTGTTTTTGGCCTCTGGGGACATCAAAATGAAAAAGTAAATCGGTCCCGGGCTTAGGTCTTACCATGAGACCTACGGTAATAGCTACTTCCCTATAGGGAAATTCGCTAACAAGAGTTGCCACATATGTTAGTCAAAGAATCGTTTAAAAAGTACATTACCGTATAGGACACAGAAAAAGGGAAGAACAATAAGATTAATATCATTGAGCATAATTTACTACAAAATGAAAACAACCAATAATTATGGTCGCCGGAATAAGGCTGAAACACCTTTGACTTTAAATAATCTAAATATCCATTACATTTTAACCAAATATAAGCCTACCATTGAGTTATATTTCCATTTAACTTGCAATTCCAAGTAGGCTTTCCATTTCAGTGAACTAGACTTACAATTAAATAATGCAGACTTTGAATAGGTACTGCAATAATTAGGACTTCCATTAATATGAACCGAAGATACCACTGAGTTTAGATGCTGCAAGTAGACATTCCATTGACGTGAACCAGACGTAACATTGACTTAATATACTGCGAATCGGCACTCCGTTTATGGGAATCAAATTAACCATTTCTTTGGATCCTGCAAGTAGACAATTTATTTATGTGAACGATATGTACCATTGAGTTTGTATACTTCAAGTAAACAATTCGTTTAAGTGAACCCGACGTATCATTGACTTTGAATGCTGCAAATAGGCATCTTATTTATGTGAACCAAATGGACCATTGACATTGGATACTGCAAGTAAATTTCTCATTTTTGTGAAGCTGGCGTACTATTGATTTAGGATACTGCTACTGCAAATAGACATTTAATTTATGAGAACCAGATGACACATATATACTTTGAGGTAGACAATACATTTAATTGAACCAGACTTGTAATTGACTTTGAATAACGAAATTAGACATTGCATTCATTTGAAACAAAATATATACTAATGAGATTGGATACTGCAAGTATACATTTCATTTACGAGAAACATATGTAACATTGACTTTAGAAATTATTAGATTATTATGTCTGCTATCTGCTCAATGTTGCAAGCAGACAACTGCATTGTACACTTAGTGTAAATTACCTGAAATGCAAAGTTAAAACTGTGAAACACAGGAACGTTTCTCATCCAAAGTCCCCGTGCGATCTCTAGTGTTCACTTGGTAATACATGTGTATTACAAAGTATAGGGTGTTTTCAACTCCCCACGTGAGTGTTAACGTTTCGTAAAAAGTACAAGTTCCTGTATAAGGTAATGTTGTTCTTTTTGCGAAAGACTCTAAAAGTAATGAAAGGACATTTTTTATTTACATTTATTTCGATAACAAACAAGTGTTTTTGACATATAAATAAATTTGTTTGCACAAAACTTGTGTGTATTACGATCTCCCCCCCCTAAAAACTGTTTTTTAGTAGTACATTTTAGGGAAAAATAATACCTTTACCATTCACAGACATAATATAATCTTTTAAAAATTATATATTTTCCGGGTAGTACATATGCTAGTTATTCAATATCAAACAGTTCAATGACAAAATACATATTTTTTAATACAACAAATGGTTTATATGCAAAACTTGACCAAATACACACACGAACTGCAGTTGGTAAAAGAAATATATTATTTACATTGTATAACTTAAAATAAATAACTCTTTCATATTGGAAACAGTATACAGTAAAATAAAAACAAGCCCATGGGGCGTAGCCCAAGGGAAATATGAAAATTAAATGATATTATATTGCATTGTCTTCCATTTGTGGGCTATGTTTCAAGTTTCAAGTCTCTAGCTCATCGGGAAGTTAGTATAAAATTGATTGCAAAATTTGTACCGGACAAGAAAGCGAGCTAATAAAAACGTTTTAATAAACTTAAATAACAACAAAAAATGTTATTTACCAATTATTAGTGTTAATACAATTATAACAAATATGTAATAACGGGGTGTCAAAAACACCCCACGCGAGTACATACGTTAGTAAAACCCGCGCGAGTAGTTAAAGGTTAAAGTACCTTTAGCATAGAAGTAAGAAGTATAGCAATTAAGTAATCTGTAAGTATATAACAAAATTACATAATCGTTTGACAGGCGACGGTAGGTATATGGATACAATGATGCGGCAAAGGCTGCTGACAGTATTACAGCGGAGCGGACAGCGCAGGAACTTGTGGCGCTGACTGTACTACACATTCCACTTGGAGATATGAGACTCCACTCAACTTTTGGAGTTATGACACTCTGGTTTAATTTTTACTTGGACTTATGAAACTTTGGAGTTATGACATCTTGGACTTATGAAACTTTGGAGTTATGATCACTTGCACTTATATTTTTCTTGGAGTAATGAAATTATCCCTTTTCGGGTACTTGTAGTTTTGAAACTTTGGATTAAATATAATTTGGAGTTATGATCTCTTGGACTTATGAAACTTTGGAGTTATGATCACTTGGAGTTATGAAACCTTGGAGTTATGAGATGATCCCTTTATATACATAGGTTAGGTTAGACTAGTCTATAGTTTATTTATACTATAGACGTATGGTTCACACATTGCTTAACAGTATTTACACGGTAATATTTTGATGATGTATGTTTAGTTTTAAAGGTATTAAAAATAGCTGGGTTTCTTTCAGTAACTTTTAATATTTATTGAACTTTATCTATGTGTAAGTGTGTAAGATTTAAAAACTTCAATTATTTAGGGCTTGATTTTTTTAACGGCAATCGAATTCCAACCAACCAATTAAATATGTTTAAAAAGTCAACAATATAAATTATATGCACTTATAGCATACTCCTTGGTACAGTATTGGTTCCATCCAAATGTATTTTAACCATAAAGGAACCAGAATTAAATACTGCTCAAGCATTGTTTATGGAATACAATTTTAAAATTTAAGTTAAACTTCCGAACAATTCTAATTGAATACAAAATATAAAATGCATGTATTATTTCAAAAGATGCACAATCCTTTTGGGGGTTATCAGAAATCCTGAAAATCAGAGTAAAATTCTCTGACTCAAGAACGAAATGACTACACCGATATCATGGTAATGTACTTCCCGATGATAAAACAGATTGGGGGTTCGTATCTATCACATTCAATAGCATTCTAAGGGCGGAATGATTTCAACATATTACAAATAATACAATCTACCCTAACAGCATGATTCAAAATTAATTGCTAGTAAATAAAAAACTGAGGATATTAAAATGAAATTATTGCATTAATTAAAAGCTACAGAAAATAACTACGCGCTCTTGATAACATAAGGGACTAGTTTCCGCGCGGACTACCTGTTACGCGCGGACTGTTTGTATCCCTCCGCTGACGCTCGGCGCGGCGCATCTTTCAGTCGTTGTTGGTGTGCCGAAGTATCCGCATCTTGAACTAACGTGACCGAGACACTTCGCCATGGCTGAGGAACAAGAAACGAAAAAAGTCGAGGAAACACCGAAACCCGATCAGGACGGAGCCGTGAAAACCGAAGAACCGGAAAAACCCGCGGAAGAACCGCCGAAAGAAATGCGAGCCGTCGTTTTAACCGGTTTCGGCGGGCTGAAATCCGTCAAAGTGTTGAAGAAACCAGAACCCACCGTTGCCGAAGGGGAAGTTCTAATCAGGGTGAAGGCTTGGTGAGTGTTTTAAATTATAATTTTATAAATATTTCCCATATTGTAACATGTTGCGTGGTTCCATATGGTTAGCCGGTTGGCGTGCCGGCTGGGTACAAATTGTGATTAGACTTGCTAAATTCGTTCGGACAAGTAGAATCTTGTTGGTTTGTCACCAATTTATTTAAATAAGTTAAATATTTCTGATTTTTTACCTCACATGCATGTATACCTATAGTTTCTACTTAAATAAATACATGTGGCTTAAATATTTTCCATGTTAAATTATGAGGAATACTTTTCAAATCTGTATTAGAATTGACACTTAAAACTGGGGAAAAAATGTGTGCATCTAGCTTAGCATTTTTACAAAAATTTTAATACCGTATATCTTATAAGGTATGGTTAGCTATAGGCCTACATTAAAACCATTCGACTAATTTACATATTGATATTACATTTATATGAAGTTAGTTTTATTTAATAACTTCATATAATAGCACACACCCCTTAAATTACCAAATCCTTATTTTAATAATGAAGAAATTTAAATATCTTCATTGTATTCCCATTTGTTATGAAATAAATTTTTGACAGTTCAGTAACGATACATCAAAATTCAAAAATTCAAACATCTTTATTGGCGAAGTTTTTCCATGAGGCATTTTTATTTCACATACATCAAAGTTGCCATATGGTAGAATATCAACAGGTGTGTCAGTAGGAGTGTCTCGCCCTCTCCCATTTTCCCACCCCACCCCTCCCCCCAACAGCACCCCTGCGTCTGCCAGACTCAAATTCGATCCCCCCTTTGTAGGATTTACGCATTGGGTAGGGCGTGGCCGATCGATATGGGTGCGAGGGAACAAAATTATCTCGCAGTCTACGTGTCTTTGGGCACGCACTAAATATTTTGCGCGAACTTTTTTGTTTTTCAATTTTATTTCGTGGATTTTTTAGTTTTTGGGCAATTATTGTGTGTTTGGCAAGACTATTGCAGTAAAATCATCTGCAAACCTACAGCTCATTCAAATCGCATTAGTGTTAAAATATTTGGACACAGAACAATTTGTGTGATTTATTTTTTTGGTTATTTTTTGCGTATTTTTTGCGTCATGTTTTAAAATATTATGTAATGCAATGTGTTGATTATTTGTTAATTTTAGTGCTCGAAACTGAATTTTTATGTATTATTTTGGCACGCTCTGGATAATTTTGATTACAAGGGACTTATTCCTTTGTCTGTGGAATCTGTGGTTTCTTTTTAAATTATAGTAATTCGTGTATTTTTATGACGTATATAAAGTGACCCCTGCAAAGCTAATATGGGATACTGCTTATCCATTAGTAATATATTATTGCCATTGGTTGGATTATTTTGAATCGATTGTAGGCCTATTTCTTTAGATGCCCCAAACAGGAATATTTTCGATTGCAAGTTTTAGTTCGGGACACAAGAAATCGTATGCAAATTTAAATAAAGTTTAGAAAAATTACATATTATTGCTGAGATAAAATTAACAGCGAGTAATATTATTTATTGATTTACGCACGAAAATAGTCCTATCCACTTCCTTATCCTAGTCCCGTTGCAGAGCGCGGGAAAACCAATAGTTTTTAACTAATGCATTTTGTACGTATCATATTCTTTGTTTGAATTACGTTTCTTATAGGCCTACATTTAAGTTTAATTGTGTACTGTATTTTCCATTACTATTGCATTAAGGTATTAGGTAAAATAATAACAGCTTAACACAATTTTAACGAACAACTAAACAAATTTATAAAAGGTCTATTAATTAAATTCATAGATTACAATCTACTGTATTTGTTGACTAAATAAATTGGTTATCACTTGGGAGTATACTAAGAAATAAACGGACTGCGCCGTAATTGTATTGTTTAAATTCACTAAGCTGTCCACGCACTACAATAAATAGCTGTACTAACCCATCTATATGTTAAATACCCTTATATAACTCAACGCCTTGTTACGTAATTTGTGCTGTGCGATCGGAGACTTAAAAAACAAAGTTGGTAGCGCATATCCGGCGATTGTAGCATTTCCGGAAACTGGCCTTCGTCCGAATCGCAGTGGCAGTGGTGGGCCTACACAGCTGATTCCTCCCGTGCTTACAGCTGTTAAAAAATCAATTTGTTTGCAATTACAATATAACCCTAAACATCCCTTTTCATGTTTTAAAATTATAGCAGGTTTTAAAATAAAAATTGACGCATTGAATTGTTCCACTGACTAGTTCACTAGTAGGTAATATTACTGAATCCTTTCGAATGTGCAAACTTAGAAAAATATACAATTGGGGAAATAGAATGTTAACTGTAGCCCAATCAGATTCTTATACCTCCTATAAGGTGGATTCCTTCTTTCAAATAGAAAATTCAAAGTGAACAATGTTTACATATTCGTGGATGAAAGGAACGTAAACAAAAATGTAATATTGGACGGTAGTTGGTATATTATTTTGGCCTACATAGTAGAACCTTGATAACAAAGTCCATGGGGGATGATCAAACATAACTTTTTATCAAGTGTGACTCCTTATCAAGGTTTCAATGACAGGTTAAAGGTATAATCAAGGACATTTAAAAATAACACTTATAAGGCTCTTCTTATTGAGGTTTCACTGTAATATGCTATAGGAATTGTTACAAGTAAAAAGACAAAAATGAGATCATCAAAAGTGCAATGACATCCAATAAAAAAATTGCAGTTGCAAAAACAGTGCAAGAAAGTTTAAGTCAGCTGTCCTTCCATTAGTCATCAAATCAGCTGAATGTTGGTTGTATGACTCATGCCTTTTACCATGACGCAAGAAAAGAAAAGGAAAGGTCAGCGACTTGAAATTACGATTGCAGAAAATATATCGTCTCATTTAGAAAACAAGTACTGCAAGTTAAAGGAAAAGCTTCGTAAAATTACAATATTACATAACTTGAACACGACAGCCAATGATCAATTGAAAAAAGTAATTTATTGAATTTACTGCGACGAGTGGAACAAAATAGTTTTTCGAGTGCAACAAAAACACTATGATCATGAATTGCATATTTAATTTGTTCATATTACTTGTTAAATCAATAATTAATATTTTCTTAACTTTTTACTTTCTTACGAAGAAAACTGATTATGCTTGCGTTCATATTTCCATCTACCTGCCGGTAGTCCATTTTAAATTAAACATTCTTGGCTAATACCGTTAAATATTTTAGCATTTTAAAATCACTAATACAACCACCCAGTTGCATTCCCATCTCAATTATTGGTACAGAGTAATTGGATCATGTACAATTTTTTTTTGCTGCATCTTAACGCAGGTTAATGCCTGTATATACTAGGAGAGTTTTTATTTCGTGTTTTTTCCACGCTAATTTAATTTTTATAGTTTTGAAAGGGAACGGTCCAAACCCTGGTCTAACGTCGACCTTTTTGTTAGAACGCATCATTAATTCATAACCCAATGACAAAAATGGCATCTGTGTCTGGATACGATCTCGTATGGAATCGAACCAGCGACCTTCAGATTTGAAGGCGAGCACTACCCAGACAATTTAAATTCACCCAGACGTAATAAACCCAATGAGTATAGCTTTAAGCACAACATAAGGAGGGAGTCGCTGTCTGGGGTGGGGGAATGTTGATTAAATTGATGATTCATTTACCAGACTGTCGACCACCCTCCGTCGTTGAGTTCAAGTGTTGATTGGCAGAGAAACTGTACAGTTCAACATACACTAGAATAAATTTCACTGGACTTTTGTCTTGAATTTTGAAAAAGATAAAAAATAATGAGGTTTCAGTGAAACTTTATATGTACAGCTAAGCTTATTGGTACTTGTTTGTTGTATTTTAAAAACTAAAATTGTATTATTGTACCACTAGTTGGCATGCTAGTAGTTATGCATGTGGGGTTAAGGGAAATCTTGAAGTTTTTGAACCATGATAAAGATTGGGTAATAAGTACGAGGTATAGCCAACTTATAAGTCCTTTTAATAGTTTTCATTGCAACCATCAAGTAAAGCTTAAAAACAAATTATTATATTGTAGTGTTCTTAGCGGTTACCGTACGTAGAAAATAAAAAAAAACTATACATTTAACATTCCTATGATGTCCTTATGGAGAATCTATGATGTCCTTATGGAGAATAAGTAAACTGTTGTAGATTTCTTGTTAAAGGACATATTTTGATCAAATTTATTATAAACATTTTACCAAAATCAGCGAACCTAAGTAGTGCAGTACCTATATCGTTATTTAAATATCAAAATAAATCTCGCATGTTTTTTAAGGAAATGTTTTAGTATACTTTGAATCCAAAAGCACAAAAAAATACGTCAAATAACACTTGTAGTAACATATTTACACTTATACTGTTTGCTCACAACCCTTACAACACGGTAAATACATATAAAAAATGGTACGTGGTGATCACCATTTACCATCATTTATATTACCATCTTGTGAGTAAATATAGAATTACAAGTGTTATTCGGCGTATATGTTGAGCTTTCAGGTAATTTAATAACACGATGCTGATAAATAAGTTATTTAGTATAAATCCAATTAGGCAACGGAAATTCTCTATTGAAAGCTTGCTGCGGCAGGGGTGTGATTTCCATTGATTATTTTAAAATATCAGTAATTTAATTTGAGTTTTTATGACTTATTACAGTACTATACGTGCAATTGCAAAGCCAAGTGATAATACAGCATACATTGCGTCTTGTACAGTCACCAAGCTCTCACAGTATGAAGCGCACAGAGTAATATTTTACGGATTTCCCCCAAAGTTCCCGCATTATTTTGATTTACTGCCACACTTAACACTTCCCACATGTTCAACTTCTATCACGGACAAGTAAAACGTGTGCAGAATATCGGATACTTGAATTGAAATTGTTTTATTTTTCAAATTGATATCTGAAATATCAAAATATGTGAGAATCTTGTGGAAAATCGCTTCTAAACTGTTTAAACACTTCGACGGGGCATCAGAGGCA